TGATAGTGTAATTAATTCCTAACAATTTAGTGTAAATATTCTGCTTGCGAAATATAATTTGACATCAACATTATTCATGTCTGTTCTCCCGTCATTTCAAAAGTGAATGATGAGCTTTGCCTGCGTGCGCAGCTTTTCAAACGGGAGACAGACGAACGCTCGGACAGACAACACGGTTCGTAATATATATATAAAATATAACAAATAGTTTTAGTTCTCATTGAAATGTTTGCTTTTGTTTTCGTATTACATTCACGTATCTATGATGGCAATAAATGCACGAAGCTAAATTACTGAACCCTGCACAAACATGCAAAAACTCAAAAGATTATATCGTTGAATTAAGACTTGTAAATATAAAAACACTAGAAAAACGTTTATCAAGCGTGCCTATTAATAACATCTCAAGGTATTCACACGTCGGAAGCACGAGAAGTACTTTAAAAAAACAACTTTGTTTACATAATTTAAAACTACAAACACAGACAACTCGCATTTTGCCTATATATTTTTGTTTTCCTGATTAACAGTTCTAATAGCATGTGTCAAAAAACGTTTTAATAACTAATATGTAAGATCATATGATTGCACAATATTAATACAGTAGTACCCAAGTGCTGTAATTAATAGATTATAACTATGATGAAATACATGTTCTACAATTAATGGATTTAAAACATATTTACTGAAACTATTTAAGTAACAAACAATTTTTTTTTATTTATCCATTATTTATAATCATTATTATTTTAAATCAATCAAGAGTTCAAAGTAATTATTGACAATTTGTTTATGATTTTTCAATTTGCTACGAGTTTTTACAATTTTTGTATATATTATATGGTTTTGAAGTTCAAAACTATGTTTAAATGTCGCCTTTTAGTGACTAATATTGAAGTATCTAAATTTGAAATTTAATAAATGAATTTAAAACAGTGTAAAGTTTGAAATAACCACTTTGAAGCTAAGCAATAGAAACTTCAAATGTGAACGATATATTAAAATAACTTAATGAAAAGTTGACAGCCTATTGCCCTAAGGCTTTAAATAAATCTTTAGGAGATGTTTGTGTTCATATCAAAACTCAAGATAATTATAGTTGTATGAAGCAAAACTATATGTTTACCTGAACAAAGTCTACTTCCTTATCATTGAGATCCGGTATATGAAATGGGTGCCATCTAAGCTGTACAAAGAATAAGTTTATGCTTCTATACTTAACAACAGTAAAATAAGACAGCAAAAGACACATAATGAAGGCAAAAAATAAATAGTAAAAAAAATAGTTTATCGAGAGTAGTATGTGTACTTCATATTACTGTTTCTTAACAGTAAAAAAATACAAGTTCAGAATAAAATGTAATTTATATTTAAGTAAATTGGGTGATTAATGCATTACAATAATTATTCACATCTTTTTACTCATTACGTACAAATGTGCGTAATACAACGATACATATTATTATTAAGTAGGTAAATCTGAGCCTTCTTTTCTTCTCTTATTACACACTTATTGAAGTAAGTGATGTCGGATGTTTATCGCTGTTAGTTAGGTGGATGTAGAAGTGTACTTATATTTTTCTTTTTCTGGTGGTTACTTACATCCCATTATTTTTTATTATTATTCCATTGTATTGTTTATGTGTTAAATTTTGCGCAAAGTTACTCGAGGGATATCTACGCTAGCCGTCCCTAATTTAGAAGTGATAGACCAGAGGGAAGGCAGCTAGTTAACACTGCTCATTACCAACTCTTGACTACTGTCATCGAACAGTGGGATTGGCCGTCACATTATAACGGCACCATGGTTGAAAGGGCGAACATTTTCGGTGATAGAATTCGAACCCGCGACTCGCAAGTGCGAGTTGAGCGTCTAACCATAGAGTGACCAGACGTCCCGGTTTTGCCGAGACTGTCCTGTTTTTGGTAGTTTGTCCTAGTGTTTCTGTTTTGTGATAAAGACATCAAACTGTCAGTCACATCGAATCACGAATGTAATAGGCCTACTTGACTTGCTCATTGTTTTAACACGTTCTCTCTTGTCGCCAAACTCTCTCTAAAGTTATGTTTATGCGTGATGAGAAACCCAGGTTTACGCAGGTGTGAATGTGGAGACAGTTAAAATAGTGTTCATTGTCGAAACACACTTTACACAGTCATGTATTGAATTTTAGGTCTAGTTAACGAAAAAAAAAAAACAGAACTTCTGCATTTCAATCATTCTTCATAAAACTATGTCTACAAGTGTCAAACTAATGCTGAAACCTAAAAGGAGTATATTTGAAAATTTTATGGATTTTTAAATAAATCCAGGTATGAAGTAACCTATTTTAAGATGAATTGAATAAAGTGTATAATTAAAGATTTCTTGGATGCATAATTTGACTATTTGTGCTCATTTGTTTTGTGTCTATCACCAAAAACGTAGTTGAAATTATTTCAAATACAAAGCCAATATTAATATATTTGGAAATGTTGCAAAACAGTTCAATAGATTTAAGGGAAATTAAATAATAAAAGTTAAATAATTTCAAATTTGTAATAATCATTTTGAAATTAGGGGCAAGGGCTGGATTGTCCCAGTTTTTCTGTTGAGAAATCTGATCACCCTAACTAACCACCAGGCCCATCATATTGTAAGGTCTTCTTTGACAAGATTGACTATTGCAGACAGATAGACATTACAGAGTCATATAAGTATACTGTGATTCTGAAATCGATTTTTTTTTCTTTTGTTGTCAATGCTGTTTTTGTTGTTGTTGTTGTTTTCTTTCTGTTGTGTCTTTAGGTGGTTTGGTGTATACTAATTGTGATCTTATTGTGATGTGGCTTCTAAATACTGTTCTAATGTATTGCTACTTGGATGTTTTTGTATGCTTTGAAACTAAACTTTGACATAGAGGAATATGGCTAGGTGTATGCAGTTTTCTCCCATGACAACGATTTTCTTTAATCCAAGAGTGTGTATCAATAGTGATAATTAATTTTAGTATATTTTATAAATTTCTAAAGCATCAGACTTTACTTCGGTGAGGTATTATATATTAGGTAGAGTTATCGCAGCACTAGAACGACTAAAGTGCAATGAACGTAGCAAATATGATTTAAAACCAAATAACAAAAAATAGTTTACCAATCTGGAAAAATAGTTTTTGTTAGCTAATGTGGTATCCTCAGGTGCACTGATTTCCCCTAAGAGTGATTAATGGAGTTGATTCCGCACAATTTGTGTCTAGATCTGTCTAAATCTCTCAAGAACTGTCAAAAATATTTCAAGAATCTGTTCTATACTCAGAAAACATAGCCTTGTGTTCAGGAAACGATAAAGATATACTTCTCCGGCCGCGTATGCTGGTTATTCTCATCGAAAAATAAGGGAGGTTGTATTCTCGAGGGGAAATAACCCGTCAAAGGAAAATATAACTGTCTACTTCTTGTAATTTATTTAGCCTTACAGAAATCCTTCCTACAAGAAGACATATGTGACACCTTAGGTGACTGATCCACATAATAGGTAATTGGGCAAAGGGAACTGAGCTACTTTCTTGACTTATGTTCCATGTAAAACTATATAAATCTGGAAATAAAAGAAATTTGTAAAAGACCAAGACATAGTAACATAAGATCATTAATTTTCCATTAATACATGTAGAAAACGTCTTCATACAATAACAGAAAAACAAGGAAAATTGTTAAGACTACTACCTGATTTGGGTTTGGTTCAAGATTGTTCCAACCTGCTGAAAAGTTGCCCAGTGGAAGTTTTTCAAAGGGTGAATGAAGAACAGATGGTCTGATTCGGTAGAGCCAACTGAAATTACAAGCAACGTTTAAAGTAATAATAACTATGTAACTAATTCATAAAAACTAAGAAAGTTTATTTTAAAATACAGAATATCTAAATTTATTTCAAAATCAAATATTTACTAAGTGAAATATTATTTCATTGTACAATTACTTTGTGTTTAATCCGTAGATTCTTAGAAACAGTGGCACAGTGGTATGTCTGCGGACTTAGAGTGCTAGCAACTGGGCCTCGATATCCGTGGTGGGCAGAGTATAGATAGCCCATTGTGTATCTTTGTACTTTACTTCAAAACAAACAAACAAACTTTATATATATATAATTACTTATTGCCAATTGTAGTATTCATGTAACAATAAATTACCATTACCCAACGGATCTTCGCAATCAAAGAGAAATGCTGCTAAAGGTTACCTGATCTTCATAATCAATGGGTAATGCATTAAAGACTACCATTTACTACTGTTTTGATATTCTCCGATGCACTTATTTCCCCCAAGAGTAACTGGGAAGAACCGAAAAGATAACGAGAAGGACAGCAGGAAATGTATTACAGAGTAAATCCAAATTCTCTGACTTTGTCCAAGTTGTAAAGAAAGAGTATGTATGCAATGTCAAACAAAGTGAAACAATCTTTATTTATTCCACAAAATACGTTAAATTAGCAAAGATAACGAATGTGTGGGTGTTTTTACTGGGAAATGAGAGCTGTCAGAATGATGTGTGTGGAAAAGCTTTTAATCTGACCTTGACTGAGAAAACACAGTTTTATATTGACAAAAATATAATGCTCGTATTTCCACGTAACTGTAATCACGTAACTGTTGGTCATTCCCACAAAAAAAAAACAAGAGGGATGTGACTCAGTTCAAGCATGAGCACTCCTTGCCAGAGAAGCAAGGTAAAGCACAACTGGTTTGGATGTACATAACCAATGGCAGTGTTATGAGCAATTCAAAATGCAGTAAGGTTTAAGTTGTTTTGCTTAAGTCTGCGATAGAAAATAATGGCTTGTGTTTTCTGTGGATTAAGCAGCACGCGCCATGTGTTGGACCATGTGACAATGTGGCTTAGAGTAGCTTGTATTTTGTTTGCTACAAGTAAGGGGTTGCGGGAGTGCTCCATACAGCGATGTTATCCGCGTATTGTGAAGCTTTTGTTTCGGGAGTCTTTGGGAAGTTTATTTCATTTACAAATAATATGTAGAGTAACGAGCTTAATACAGAGCCTTGATAGACACCAGCTTTAAGGGGGAATGAAGGTGACATGTTGTTACTAATCTTGACTTTCGCGGTTCTATTAGTTAGGAAGTTTGAGATCCATTTAATAATTGGGATAGGTATTTTGTAGTTGCATAATTTATATCTAACTAAGGGCATTATGCCAAACAGAGTCGAAAGCTTTCCTGATATCCAGGAAAACACCGATTATTGCATGGTTACGATTAAACCCTTTGTGTATTGATTCTGTTAATCTGGCTAAATGGCCAATTGTTTGTCGTTGTTTTCGAGACGCGTTTTGAGTGTCAGAGAGGAGATTATTGGAGTCGAAAAGGAAAAACAGTCTTGTTGTGATTATTTTTTCCATTAATTTGCCTATACTGTTTAGCAAGCTTATTGATCTGTAGTTTCTTGGATTACTAAGGTTGTTACTTTTTGGGGGGATGATGCTAATGACTGCAGATTTCCATGTTGTTGGGAAATATCCTGATTTTAGGGATAAATTAAACATCGCTGTGATGTGGGCGATAAGTGCATAGGAAGCGTTTTTTAATATTATGTTTCTAATGCCGTCCTCACCGAGGGTAGTGTTTTTAGTTTCTTAATGTGAATTTTGATTTCGACTTTGGTGAAAGGTTTAGATTTAAATTTTGTCCAGAATTCTTTCTTTTATAGTATTCTGGTAGATTGTGGAAGACTTGTTATGATTGGTTAGTTTATCCCTGTTTCTGATTGTTGGAAAGACTGCAAGTGGATTCAACCGATGATAATCATAGGTTTCTCACCTCTAATCCTGCATCTCCGTTTAGTGAAGGGGTTTTATTGGGTTAGTGTAGAAAGATTCTTTAATTTTTCTTGTCTTCCAAAATTTGTCTTTGTTGATGATTCTAATTTTATCCCAGTATATTTTGTGACCAGTTGACATGGTGTGTTCTGCCTTAGAGAATCTACTGCTGGGTTTGATGTTAGGAGAGTTAGATCTCATGCTTGCCATTGTGTATATATATATATATATATATATATTAGCATATTTTATATTGAATTCATTATTGTTCTACAGTGCTGATTTTAATCGCCTATTAACAATTAACGTTGTTTTGAGGCTAAAAGACGTAGATTTCACACACAACGAAAAACATCAGGATAAATGAGGATGCATACTCGTTTGACATCAATGTTCTTCCCTTTTATTCAGTTTATTTGTATTTTTATTTACAAACATAATAATAAAAAATGTTCACTGTGGTAAACGAAGTAATAATTTGATCTAAGTAAGAGTTTTTTTTTCCATATTTGTAAAAAAATCCTAACGTGATAGAAAAAATAAATATTATTTTCGCAATCTGCGTAGTTGAATTATGGAAAATCTATTATTAAAACCATAACTTTTATGAAGTTTAAATTCGCAGGCCTGTGTTATCTGTGTCACTTTGTCAATGTAGTCTTCTTTATTTAAAACAGGCCCCCAGTGGCACAGCGGTATGTCTGCAGACTTACAACGCTAGAATCCGGGTTCGATGCCCGTGGTGGGCAGAGCACAGATAGCCCATTGTGTAGCTTTGTGCTTAATTACAAACAAACAAACAATATTTAAAACAACCGTACTGTTTCTCTTCTTTGGTTTGGTAATAAAATTAGTACTGTTAGATTTAATCATGTCTAGTGCTAAATTTCTTCTTTGCTGATGTTATAATGTTTGTGCCCAAAACAATAGGAAGGTGATCCAGAGAGGGCGATGTTGCTGACGTTATTGAAGGTTTCGTTATAAAGTGAATAAACATAATAAGTTTTGACTTCTCTTAACAAGAGCTCATAAGGAACCAGATAATGATTATACGGATTTTTCCTGGCACTAGAGAATGTCCCAAACCCCTAGAAAATAACTTTTTCTCTACACCCCCCTTACTGTATAGCAAGATAGGCTATGAATAACTTTATCCGGAGAATTTGAAAAATATTCTCCTTTTTGAAGCTTATTTATAGATTGCACTTTCTTCAGATGATTGACAGTTTTGAAATTAAGAAACTTCGGAATTAAGTCGAATGTTTTGCAATCTCTAAGAAGAGAAAGATGGAGTCTGTATTTCTGTAGTTTAACAGACGTTTTCTCAAATTTTACAAAACAATTCAATAAAGCGCACGCCATATCTGTCTTTTAGGACAGTAAATAATTCATGTTTATGAAATTAGATAGAATTAAGACCTTGAAGCATAAAACACAACCGCCCACAGCTGTATGAAATATTATTGTATTAATACAGTAACTATAGACTTTAACACATGTTGAAACAGTTTTACATATTAATAGAGATAAACATTCTAGTCAGAATCTGTCAAAATAAAAACTTGTTGATACAACTGACAGCCAATACTGTCATGGTATTAGTTAATGCACAGTTTCCATAACAATTATTAGTATGTATATAGCAACTATATAACAACTATTAGTAATAAACAAGTCACATGTTAAGCCACTAGTAAACAATATAATATATGTAATCTGTATCAAGGTAATGATATAAACAAGGTAAAGTTACAAAGGAGAAGGAAAAGAAATTGATGCACATGAATATCATATTACTAAATCTCAAAACGGAAAACAATATAACCAGTACATGCAACAAGTGAACATGGCGTGGTCCCTTTCCCCAATTTGTTCAAAGTAATGGGAAAAACTGAAAACAGGCTATGATATAGGGAAAGGAGATTTTACTGGTTCTTCAAAAGAAGCTGAAATTAAACAATCAACAAAGTGCTAATGAACTTTTACTCACAAATTTTGGGAACTGAATTTTATTTAAACTTTCACGCTCTACTGTATAATTTTGACATCTACACCTGAAGAAAGCCAGTGAAAATGGTCGAAAGTTTGTGTGATTATTTTATGTAAACGTCTCTCTACATTACAGCATTTCATTATATATTTTTTCTTGTTTTTACTTTTGAAAGGTGCATCAAAGCTTTGAAGAATTAATTAACTTTAGCAACGAACTAACATATACAAAAAAATATAATAATCGTGTATACACACTATAAACTAACAAAATAAGAGAGTTCAACTCCCAATGAAACTAAAGGAATTTTTTCCAACCTGCGTCTGTTCGTCTCTCTGGGGGAAGTGAAGGAGGTCCCAGACAGCTGCTCAGAATATAGTCCATAAGGGCATTGTTGTGGAGAGTTCTGGAACGTTAATAATAGACATCTTATCTGAAGTAATAAAGTAATAAACAAAAAAAGACGGATATAATGATTATTTGTTACAGACATTTTCGTAAAGCTAATGGACTAAACAGAAAGCAACTACTCGACAATACCAACCACCAAATCTTGGGCTTCGCTAATCGAATAGTAGAATTTGACCATCACTCTTATAACGTACGGTCCCAAATTATGGAGTGCGACTTTGCTACAATGGGTACTATACCATATACCCCTGGATTCACAATCTGGCCACACTTGACCTTGCTCGTTTATACCGCATATACAAACAATTCTAGATACTAAGTAGGACCTTTCAATGAGTACTTGGTTTTAAATTTTTTGTTAAAAACATAGAGTCGAATAGTGTGTAATTGTACTTGTAATTTTTTAATGAAACTGTAGTTAAAACATTAGTATACACTTTTCTTCCTGGAAACTTATAATGGGCCAGTTAAGAGTGATGTATTCAATGTTTGTTTTAATCATTATTAAAATGCTACCAAGAGCACCAGATGGCTTCGTGTGTGTTACCATGTGATATTCAGGGTATCCAATAAGTGAACAAACTTTGAAATTTCATGCTTTATCGTGTATAATCGTATCGGTTGTTTTTCATATTTCATCAGAAAAACTACCACAGGTCACCAAGTAAGCTTCTACACCTCCATTTAGATTTTTCAGTCTATGTTCAGTACAAGAAACTTCGTAGACGTTGAGCTTACGTACTTTTTTGTCACAAGTTGGTCGTTATACGGATAGGATCCGATTTCTTTTTAAATTTATAGTTAGGGCACTCGACTCGTAATCTGCGGGTCACTGGTTCGAATCCTAGTCACTGAACATGCTCTCCTTTTCAACCTTTATAATGTCAGTCAGTCTCATTAATCTTTGGTAAAAGAGTAGCCCACGAGTTAGCGGTTGTTGACTAGCTGCCTTCCCCCTAGTCTATCACTACTTATTTAGGGATGGCTAGCGCAGATAGCCCTCCAGTAGCTGTGCACGAAATTCAAACAAAACCTTTTTAAATACTAGTGAAGAAAAATGTTTTGAAAAAGTTGTCACTTATCTATGGCAATACTTGTTGAGCTTATTGAAATAGTATCTTAAAAACGCGTAAAGATTAGTGAATAAAAAAAAAAAACGTAAACAGTTCCAAGAGTAAAAGAAAGGCCCATCCCTGTATTAGTTTATGGGTGAGCTTTATTGAATGAATAAACAGAGCTAACTGACATTGTCTACATATTGTATTTCGCGCAAAGCTAAACGAGGGCTATCTGCGCTAGCCATCCCTAATTTAGCAGTGTAAGACTAGAGGGAAGGCAGCTAGTCATCACCACCCACCGCCAACTCTTGGGCTACTCTTTTACCAACGAATAGTGGGATTGACCATCACATTATAACGCCCCCACGGCTGAAAGGGGTACCCTAACCACCTGGCCATGCCGGGCCCATTTATTACTGAGATCATTGTAGATCTTTAGGAACTGTTGTCACAGAATTTACAACTACCCACCTTAACTATAATTGTGTACAACTATTTAGAAACTCAGATATACATTATATCAGTGGCTCAGTGGTAAGCTTGGTGGTGTATAACTCACAAATCGAGGTTCGATACCCACGGTGGGTAGAACGCAGACAGCTCATTATGTAGCTTTCAGCTTACACATGAATAAACAAACAAATAAAAAACAAGTGTACTACATGGATGTTATCGTCACAAAAGTACAGATATAATGAATTTACATTTAAAGATAGATACAGTATGTAAACAAAAGAAAAAACACGACGGTACCTTAAATATAGATATTTACTTACAATATGATTAACATAATGTCACGTGATAGTGAATGTATGTGTAAAAATGCAGTATGTAAACAAAATACAACACACAGACTTAACGATACTAGAAACACAAATCTTTGCATAAAATATGATTAACATACAATACATGTGATACTAAATATACGTGTAAATCTGCAGTATATAACAAAACAGAACAGTGACCATTAACAACAGTAAATATTGTTATCATGCTAGAAACCAAAGTAATATTAAAATCAGACAGATCATTGTGCATAAAAGAAATTCAGATTATGATCTACACTTTCTAGTTTCTATACTATACTAATTGTTATGTATAATTAATACTTGATGAAACTCCAGAATTTTGGAAAAATCAATATACCCACATACTGTACCAAGCAACAACAAAAAGAAAAAGAAATGGTACATTGGAAAACTTTCTAACAAAATATATAACACACTGAACAGAGAAATCTACAGAACAGCCTTCTGCTGTAAAAACAACCTAGAAAAAATGTTGTGCAACAACTAAGACAGACTTGAAAAGTACAGCAGCAGTGGTGTTTACCAATTAACGTGTCAAGACTGCAATACTGTATATAGGTCAAACAGGACGTTCCATTGAAACAAGAATTAAAGAACACTCTAGAAGCTGGAAATTAAGGAAAATGGATTCATCCTTTGCATCCCACTTTATTGAAACTAAGCATCAATTTGATTCAGAAAAAAAACTGCAAAATGTTACATATCTGTGAAAAAGATAAAAAACTAGACAGTCTGGAAGTTTTAGAAATAAACAGATGTCTAAAAATAAATCCAGAAAAAGTTCTAAACGAACTTAAGCTCCTCCCCACTTGTCTCTAGGTGAATGTCAAGGTCACTTCTGGTTCTTTGTTTAAACATATATATATAAATCCTGCTACAAAACATTTTAGTCTATACCTGATGACACCTTTACTGATGAAACTATGGGTGTAATAAATGATGTATTTGTGAAATGTATAGTTATCTTGTTTTTCCTCAATTCTGTAATTGTCATATACTTACGTGAATAACACCCGTTTCCCATTCAAATTACGAATATGTTCCATTTATATACGTATTACTGAGTGCATAACGGTCCTGTTTGTGTATGCAGTTTTTCACTTTAAAAGGAACGTTTACATACAAATTTCGGAGTCATGTGTTCTAACTCATATCATATATAAACACAGTGCATAGATTTCATCACGTGCAGTTAGCTTCGAGTGTGGACGCCCTTCATTATCAAATGTTTGAGAAAAACAGTGTTTCAAACAACTACATCTTCACTGCTATTTGTTTAGTACTTTCTACCAAGTATTTTTTGGTTTAATGTTTCGAACGCTACATTTTCTTTGGTTGCATTTATGCGCGTGTGTCAGATTGAGAGTTCTATGGCTAAATTATTAATAACTCGTATCTCGTACTGAAATTCACAAGCAGCACCTGAGAGCTAAAAACTTTCTTGACATCAATTTGCTGCAAATACTGAGTGAAAGCATAGTAAAATAGTGAAAGCAGTTCAATATCAGTGTTAAAAACACACACATTTGCTTTATAGAATAACAAACTAGCAACGTTATCTAACTCTGTTATTGATTATAATTACCATATCTTGTTCATATGATGATTATCAGTAGCTTGAAATTTAGTTACAATTTTTATGCAATATTTTATCATTTAAATACAGACAAAGTAACATTTTTCCATCCATTAAACTAACTAAGTAGTTCTTTATGAAAATGTCTATAGATATATTTATTCATCTTTTTTTAGGCGTATTCTTCTGTTACTCCTCTTTTCAAGGGAAGTGATAAAATTGTCCCAGTAATTATAGGACTATTAGTTTTACATCAGTGATCGGAAAAGTTTTTGAAAATCTGATAAAATATGTTTTGCAAAGTCATTTAACAAATTTTGCATTTTGTTGAATAGTCGCTATCGTTTCACCAGGAGAAAATATTCCCTAACTAATCCTATGACATTCTTTGAAGAAGTTACTATTTATGTAGATGAGAATACGAGTGTGGATTTGGTACATGTATCTGAATTTGCAGAAAGCATTCTACAAGGTGCCACATAAAAGGCTAGTTAGAAATGTTATGTCTGTAGGATGATGGGATAGGTTGACTCCATTGAATAGAAAACCGACTGGATGTAAGAAAGCAGAAGGTTGTTATAAATGAAATCCAGTTAAACTGAATTAATGTCATAAGTTGAATGCCTAAGGGAACAGTGTAGGGATCTTTGCTTTTTTTTTATCTATATTAATTACATAGATGAAGATTGGTCAATAGATTATTTAAATTTGTTGATGACATTAAAGTTTTGGGTATTACTGACTGTGAGGAGGAGCCCCCAGTGGCACAGCGGTATGTCTGCGGACTTACAACGCTAGAATCCGGGTTTCGATACCCGTAGTGGGCAGAGCGCAGATAGCCCATTGTGTAGCTTTGTACTTAATTGCAAAAAACAAACAAAGAGAGGAGGATGCTACTATTTTAAAAAAAATATTTTGATTATTTGGTGAATAGGACCAATAAATGTCGAATAACTTTCAATTTTAGCTAATGCAAGGTAAAGCATGTACGATATTACAATTTGAATTATGACTATGATTTTGACGGGAATAACCATAACAGTATTATGGAAGAACAAGAATTTGGTATTATGGTTCATCAGTCTCTTAAGCATCCAAGCAATATGCTGTTATTAGTAGCATGACAAATAAGATTTTAGATTGTATCTTCAGAAGCTATAATTTCATTGTATAAGCTTGGCCACATTTGGAATACTGTGTTCAATCTTGGACTCCTCATCTAAGAAAGGACACTGAATTGTGGGAAAGGGTTTAGAGGAGGGCTACTAAGATGATACCTAAGATGAAAAGGTTGCAATATGAGAAGAGATGATGGTCTCCGAATCTGTCTTCTCTTAGAAAAAAAAAAAAGAAAAGTGAAGGGAAATTTGGCTGAGATGTTTAAGGTTGTTAAAGGAATTGGTGTTGTTGATGCACCATCTTTTTTGTGTTTTGATGGTGAGAATGATGTGACTAAGGGTCACAAATATAAATTTTAGCAAGGTAGAAGTCATCTTCAACTAAAACAGCTTTATTTTTTAACAGAGTAGTTGGCCCTTGAAACGGGTTGCTT